AAGGCCTTCCTAAAGTCCAGAAAGACTACGTCCACTGCAATACCTGCATCCAAGGATTTTGTGACCTGCTCGTAGAAGACCACCAGGTTGGTCTGACAGGACCTGTCTCTAATGAACCCATGTTGGTTGCCCCTAAGCATACACTCCCCTGCTGGCCCCTCGCAGATGTGCACCTGGATAATTTTCTCAAACAGCTTCCCCAGGACCGAGGTAAGACTAACAGGCCTATAATTTCCTGGGTCCTCCTTCCTCCCTTTTTTGAAAATGGGGACCATCTTGGCCCTTTTCCAGTCCTCTGGCACCTCGCAAGAGCACCACAAGTGCTCGTAAAGCTGTGCCAGGGGACCCTGCAATGACCTCTGCCAATTCCCTCAGCACTTCGGGGTGGAGATTGTCAGGACCTGCTGACTGGAACATGTTTAGACCCACCAGAAGTTCCCTGACTAGGTCCTTTCTGACCCTGTGCCTGGCAGCGCCTCCCCTGGGACCACTGGGGATCCAGGTGTGGGGAATGACCTGGTCCCTGCTCAGGAAAATGGAGGCAAAGAAATTCTTAAATAGGTTAGCTTTGTCATCTGGTGAGATCACCAAATTTCCCAGTGTGTCCTGCAGAGGCCTGCATTACCTGGAACCTTCTTTTTACCCCCTATGTATTTAAAAAAGGATTTCTTGTTATCTTTGATCCAGGTCACTAGTCCCAGTTCCATCTCCACCTTAGCCTTCCTGACTGCCCCCCTGCAGCCCCAAGCAACAGAGGTATAGTCCTTCTTGGTGATGGCCGCCCCCCCTTCCATTGGGTGTACACCTCCTTTTTAGCTTTGAGACATTCCTGGATGCTTTTGGTGAGCCATGGGGGCTTTTGAGCACTCTTGCCCCCTTTGATCCGTGTGAGGATTGTCACCCTTTGGGCTTGAAGGACCGTCTCCTTCAGAAATGACCACTCTTCTTGGACTCCCAACTCCCCTCCCCACCTGGGACCTCAGTGCCTCCCCAACTAGTCTCCATAGCTCAATGAAATCCACCCTCCTGAAGTCCAGGGCTGCTGCCTTGCTGCAGGCCTTTGCCACCCTGTGCTGGATGGTGAATACCAGCAGGAGATGACCACTGTCACCCAGGTGATCGAGCACCCGCAGTCCCCTCACCAGGTCATCACTTGTGGCCAGGACCAGGTCTAACAAGGCATTTCCCCTGGTGGGACTGTGCACCTCCTGGGTTAGATGGGGGTCCTGTAACACGGCTAGGAACCTACGTGAGCAGTCAGATCTGGCTGACTGCTCTTCCCAGCAGATGTCCGGATAGTTTAGGTCACCCATGATGACCACGTCCCCTTGACTTAACTGCCTCCGCAATTTGACTTAACTGCTTCCCGGTCCAACTCTTCCCCTTGGTTGGGTGGTCCGTAGTAGACCCCCACCGTTAAGTCCCTTTCCCCACGACCCCCTTGTATTCAGAACCAGAGCACTTCAGTTTTCCCCTCCTCTGACCCGGTGCTGTTCATTGAGGATGTGAATTGTTCTTTGACGTAGAGCGCCACACCCCCGCCTTTTCTCCCTGTCCTATCCCTCCTGTACAGCCTATCTTGGTTCTATCCTCAGCAAAAAGAGGGAGGGCTCTCCCATGGGTAGAAAAACGAAATGGAGGTCCCCAGGCATCACCAACTGATCATGGGCAAGTCACTTTGCTTCCTTGTGCACTACATGGGGAGAGGTTCTGAGATGATTCTTATCTAAAGAAGACAGGCACCGTGGCTTTCTGGTACAGTACTGGGTTGGGGCTCAGGAGGCAGGTTATCTATTTCCAATTATGCTACTGGCCACATGTGCAAGTTCAAACGCCCACTTCCCACCTCTGTGCTTGAGCTTCCCCATCTGCAAAACAAAGGCAGTGATTCAGTTTCACTTCTAAAGCACTCTGAAACCTACTGATGAAAAGCCCTCGATATTAATCTCTGCTGAGTATACACACATGCAGATCAGCAGGAGAGTAAGCACAGGCTGGGGAGGGGGTTGTCCTCATTTTGGGGGCATTGCCCAGACTGGATGGGCTGTCCCAGTTTTGCCCAGTGAAGGAGCCTGACAATACATTAATGAAACACCCAATTCTGCTGACTTCACTTGTTTTGCTTTTGAATTGCATAGAACTCTTACTAGGATTCATTCTCACCCCACTGTTGCACTTCCTCAGTGTATACCACTGGTTTACTGGAGTTAGTTCTGATTCACATAAGAAAGAATCAGGCTCACTGAACATAGGAAGTCAGGCTATATCAGAACCTGAGATCCATCTACTCCAGTGTCCTACAGTAGATGTGCCTGCACCCACAGGCTGCCATTCCAGGGGCAGAGGTCAGAGTTCCACAGGAGCAGATGTGGAAACATTTGCAATGGGAGCTGGGCTGAGTAGCAGTTGATGAGGAGCTTTAGGACTTGTCCCCATATTCATTAATCAGTTTGCAGTTCATGAGACAGAAATACCCATACAGTAAAATCTGGTTAACTCATCACTTTAAAGGGGATTGGAATGGCGACTGATTATCTACGTGTGGTTAATTATCAGCACTCAGTCACTTCCAGCTGTTCATGCAATGTCTTTTGCACACTGTATCAGGACAGAAAAAAAATTACAATAAAGTATTTTTAATAAAGAAAAGAATATATTACAAAAATTCCAAATGCAAACTGTACCCATTCTGGCTCCCTATATATAAGAATGGTTTGACTCTGTAGATAATACTTAGTGTGCAATTTTTGGGGTTAAAAAATGCAAAGTGTTCACCATATAAGTATGACATGACTATGAGGAGGAAAAATAATCAAAGACTTCTGCTTTGCATTCTGATGTGCACTTAATGCCAACACAAAAGACAATTGTGCAACACTGAACAGTTGATCATCTATGTCTTGTTGAGCCAAGAAGAGCCACAGAGTATGCAGTGCTTTGCAAGCATCAGCTGGTCAGGACCCTTTAAGCCAACTAATTATTAGGCTTAAGTTTCCTTGAGATCTAGTAGGCATGCACATTTGTCAATTACTCATTATGCCTTATCAGACAATGAATTCACCCAAGTGATTTGTATACAAATCTATGGGACTTTGGTGGGGATTCAGGGTGCCTACTAATACGACCACAGTGACAAGTTACTCCAGGGACTGAATATCCAGATTTCAATGTCAGGGGTCCAATTCACCACTGCTGTATAGCTTGCATTTATACACTGGCAAAGGGCATGAGAAACCGCTAGCAGATTGGCATCACAATGTCGGGCCCCAATGTCTATGACCGCACGAGGTGGAGATTGACAGGGAATCAGAACCAAAGATTTTTTGTGCCTCACTGAAATCCTGATCAAATAGAAAGAGTCCCAATCTCTTTCCCTTGACTGCAGCTGGTTTGGGATTTGGGCCTTTTGCTGCATAACACCTACTGCAGGTAGGAGTCTACTGTCTGAAGCGTTAGGGAGGAAACAGGAAGTGATGGCCTCTCCCTGGTCCCTCTCTAGGTTTGTCATGGTCCCTTCCCTGCACCCCGACTGGACGCTGCTACTGTTCTTCATCCACACTCATGTCACGATCACCATGACGCTGGCACTGCTCTTCATCCCGAAGGTAACCTCCTGTGTGCTCCCCAACCCCTATGCCAGCCTCCTTCCTGCAGCGTTTCCCCTGTAGAGGCTGAAAAAAGCAACACTGCTTTTTTGCCTTTCTCCCTCTGGGGTGGGTTCCCTCTAATCCTCATCCTTTATAAGCTCACCCTTTACAGCTGCCTGCTCCTTGTGAACATACTTTTCTGTAAGGCAGGATTTCATAGATTCATAGATTGTAGTCGGAAGGGACCACAATGGATCTTCATGTCTGACCCCCTGCCCCTGGCAGGAAAGAGGACTGAGGTCAGATGACCCCAGCCAGGTGTCAAACTCACCCTGTCCCCTGGGCTGGACCTGGACTGCAGGGTTCCCCATGGGCCAGGTCTAGACCTGATGGCAGTGGGGCCAGTGGTAGAGGAGGCTGTGACTATGGCAACAGGGCAGGCAGCAGCAGAGCAAGTGGGGATGTGCTGACACAGCCCTCACTTGGCCCCCTGCAGCCAATGCCCATACTCAGCGGGGCCCCGTAGCCCTGGATTCTGGTACAGCCCCCTCACTCCCCCACCAACAAGACCTGCTTTAGAAGTCCTGGCCCACCAGGAGCTCTGCAGGCTGGGAACAGCCCTGCCATAAGGGGTAAATGCTTTGCAGAAGCTGAAGCTGGAAACAGCAGGGCAGATATATCCTTGTGCTGCCTCCCTAATCTGAGACTGGAGGAAATGAAGCAGGTTACAGCAGCAAAGACCGCTCTGCAGTTTCTTATTATTGCAGGAAGCTGAGCCACTCTAGGAACTCTTCCCTAGTCAATTGTAAGAGAACCCGTCTTTTCTGGGCACACAGGGGAACTGTGGGAAGACCCTGAAGGACTGGCAGCACAGGAGTGGTGCTACTCAGAGGACAGGGCAGCTGTGTTAAGAGGTAGTTGAGAGTCAGAATTACTGTTACAGAGGAAATTCCAAAGGGGAGAGAAATATGCTCTATTTTGGAACAAAACTTCATACATTTTGAAATATCTCTCATAAAAGGAAAATCTGAAGCTACTCCAGATTGAAACATTTTGTGTAGTTCATTTCCCAATGAGTTGGAGCTTAAGCAGCAGACTCACTATGAGCCTCATAGGGAGGAGGAAGCCCTGAGAGCTTCACAGCATGGAGCTACGGTGCTTGACTCAGAGTTCCCCAGGCTTCCAGTTGGGGAAGCAGGGCTGGTTGGAGCTGGGTCTCCCAGGCACCCCCTGTGTGGCAAGCAGTTTGGAAGCCCTACATTTCACAACTCCAAGGCAAACTAAATTGCTTCAGATGCATGAACCTTGAGAGCTCAGGCTATGCATCTATCTGCCCAGTAAGTGGGTAGGAAATTGGAGTGATCTCCCTGCTTGTGCCTCATCAGGAGTTTGTTGAAAGGGACACAGTATGCAGAATACTGCAGTTTCAACACACCAGCATTGGTCAAGGACACTGTCTTCATCAGAGAATTCCTGAACTGAAATTCATGAACATTTACAAGCTAGGCTTCAAATGAGTGCTAGCCCATTACCGAGTTTAACTCAACAAACTTGAATTGCCAGCACTTCTGCACACAAGCGAAGTGGTGTGTGGATGGGACTGAAGTGAGGGGGAAAAACTCAAGGCCAGATCCTACTGCACTTATTAGATGCCAAAGTGGATTTGGCACCCGCGTGTGATCCTATTCCATTGTGCTCTAGTCAAAGAATCATAGAAAATGAGGGCTGGAAGGGACCTCAGGAGGTCATCTAGTCCAACCCCCTGCTCAAAGCAGGGCCATCACCAACTAGATCATCCCAGCCAAGGATGAGCCAGGTCCTAAAAACCAGGTCTTAAGAACCTCCAAGAATGGAGAGGTCTAGCCAGCTCTTAAAAACCAGGTCTAGCCAGGTCTTAAAAACCTCCAAGGATGGAGATTCCACAACCCCTCTGGATAACCTGTTCTAGTCCTTTACTATCCTCCTAGTGAGAAAGTTTTTTCCTAATATCTAACCTAAACTTCCCTTGCTGCAACTTGAAACCATTGCTCTTTGTTTCTGGCATCTGCCACCACTAAAAACAGTCTCGATCCATCCTCTTTGGAACCACCCTTCAGGTAGTTGAAGGCTGTTGTTAAATCCCTTCTCAGCCTTTTCTTCTCTAAACTAAATAAGCCCAGTCCCCTCAGCCTCTCCTCAGAAGCCATGTGCCCCAGCCCCCTCACCATTTTTGTTGCCATCCACTAGACTCACTCCAATTTGTCCAAATCTTTTCTGTAGTGGGGTGCCCAAAATTGGACACAGTACTCCAGATGTGGCCTTACCAGTGCTGAACAGAGGGAAATTATCACTTCCCTTGATCTGCTGGCAACACTCCTACCAATGCAGTCCAGTATGCCATTAGCCTTCTTAGCAACAAGGGTGCACTGTTGGCTCATATTCAGCTTATTGTCTACTGTAACCCCCAGGTCCTTTTCTGCAGAGCTGCTGCTTAGTGAGTCAGTCCCCAGCCTGTACCGTTGTATGGGATTGTTCCATCCTAAGTGTAGGACTTTGTGCACTTTTCCATATTGAACCACATGAGATTTCTTTTGGTCCAATCCTCCAATTTCTCTAAGTCTCTCTTAATCCTAGCCCTACCCTCCAATGTATGTACTACTCCCCCGGGCTTGGTGTAATCTGCAAACTTGCTGAGGATCCACTCTATCCCATCTTCCAGGTCATTGATGAAGATATTGAACAAAACCAGCCCTAGGACCAATGCCTGGGGCACTCCACTTGATACCGGCTGCCAACTAGACATTGAAACATTGACTACTACCCTCTGACTGATGATCCAGCCAGTATTCTATCCACCTTACAATCCATTCATCCAGCCTTTACTTCCTTAGATTGCTTGCAAGAACATGTGGGAGACGGTATCAAAAGCCTTGCTAAATTCAAGGTATATCACATCCACTGGTCTCCCCACATCCAAAGAGCCAGTCATCTCATCACAGAAGGCAACCAGATTGTTCAGGCATGACTTGGTGAATCCATCCTGACTGTTCCTAATCGCCTTCTTCTCCTCCAAGTGGTTAGAAATTGATTCCTTGAGGATCTGCTTCATGATTTTTCCAGGGACTGAGGTGAGGCTGATTGATCTGTAGTCCCCTGGATCCTCCTTCCCTTTCTTAAACATGGGCACTATATTTGCCCATTTCCAATTGTCCAGGACCTCTCCTGATCACCATGAGTTTTAAAAGACTATGGCCAGTGGCTCTGCAATCACCTCAGCCAACTCCCTCAGCATCCTCGGGTGTATCCCATCTGGCCCCATGGACTTGTACATATCCAGCTTTTCTAAATAGTCCCTAACCTGCTCTTGTGCCACTGCTGGCTGCTCATCTTCTGCCCAAACTGTGCTGCCAAGTGCAGTAGTCCCTGAAAAGTTATGGCAAAACATGGCTAGGTTCTGAAGACTTAGTCTTCAAACTAAAATGGCAGCATGTTACAAAACTGGTGCATTCATGGTTTTCTAACAGACTTAAGGAGGGCAGGCTAGGATTACATTTAAGTACCTCATAAGTGGAACAGGATCTGGCCTTACCAATATCATTGCAACAAAGGCATCACTGGTTCCTAAAGGGTGGTCAATAGGCCACCAGTGGCCCTGCTAAGTGGTCTGTAGTTCACACTAGCCCTGCACACTGTTAGTGTTTTCAGTTAAAAGGTTGAGGCTGAGGATGTAAGGAGTGGGAGTCCATGAAAAGTCTTGAGGGTCGGCAGTGGTGGTGGTTGATTTGTGGACACCTGCTCTGTGCAGTTAGAGGCAAGTCTATGAGGTGACATGGGAGCTTCCAAAGGATGCCAGCCCCCCGCCCCTCATAATGGCATGTGTGCCTCCATTCTTCAGACCCCTCTGAAAATACCATCTACCAGCTTACCAAGGGCTCCAAGCTCCCATAACCAACCTCTGCCCTCAGTTCTTGCATGCAGGATCACCCCTGAGGGAGGAGATCGCAGCGGAAGTCTACGAGGACGAGCTGGACATGAGGCGCTCGGGCTCCTACCTGAACAGCAGCATCACATCAGCGTGGAGCGAGCACAGCCTCGACCCCGATGACATTCGGGTGGGTGGCACACTCAGGACCTTCTTTTGACGATAGCTATACAGAACTGTGCAGAGTAAGAGTTGCCTTTTGCAGTCTTTCTCCTGAAGCAAAACCAAAGGGGTGGAGAGGGTTATACAGGCCCTTCGGGTGAGGTGGTGGTGGGGTGGAGTAGTAGGGGAGGGGACCCTGCTCAGTCTGTCTCTATCAGCAGTCCCAGAATGGTTGGTCATGAAGCAATTAGTAAGGCTAATTATTCTCCAGAGTTAACAGCCGGGGCAAGGACCAGGTCAGTTCAAACTCCCCTCAAGGTTTAATCTTGGCATCCCATTGGCCTGTTTCCATGCCTAACAGCTGCAGGACAGGTCTGGAGACCTCTTGGGAATGTCAGCCTTGCTCAGGGAGACAGCACTGCATCTGTTCAAAAGCAAAGGGTTTTCTCTACAGCTGGTGGGGTTCGTAACAAGGAATCTATTCTCAGACGCAGAAAGCATCTACAGGGTCTAAGTCTGGTTGGCTTTATCAGGAGCCATGTGGACTCAGCACCTTCGTTCCTTAATTATTTGTTTTAACAATAGGTTCATATCCTGGATAAATAAATGGGCCTTTTACAATGGGTAGCCATATGCTACCTCAGCTGAGCTTCTCCTTTCCTATGGGAAATCCAGAGCTACATCAGATGCCTTCTATATAAATCCCAATCACAGGGAAAAATAGTCTAGCGGATGACATGCCTTTTGGAGAACAGGGAGATATTCTTAGGCACTTCAAATATCCTCTTGAATTCCAATGGGATTTGGGTATCTAATGTGATCACTTAAAGTGATGTTAAGCTCAGCCAAGCAATTGGAAATCAGGGCTTAGCAGCGCCCGTTGGAGAGAAGAGAGAAGCAAACATGGCACAGCCCTGAGTTGGATCAAATGTATTATCTCACTTTGGGAAGTTGCATTACTCTCTGGAGTAAGATACCAAGCCCTCCCTTGGGTCAGCCCACCCTGTCAGCAGCTGGACAAGTCATAGACTGGTAAAGAAGGTTCCAAAAACACAATCCCTGCTGTTATAATCATGGACAATCAGAAGATGAATCAATTATCAGTGGAAAATATTGACATGTTGAAAAACAAAATTCTAACGTTCTGGTCAAAAACAGCAGTAGCAAAATTAGTCCCCGACACCATGCTGCTGCAGATTCCCAGTCTCCTCCATTGGCCCAGCTCCCTAGTCAGACCGCATCTCCCAGACCACCTCTTACCATAGTCTTGGTAGGATGGATCCTGGCTGTAGCGTGGCTGCATGGGACCTTGGGAAAACAGACATAAGGCAACCCAACAACTCCCAAGAGACTCCGTGGCAGCCATCAGACAGACAGCTCCCTGTTTTCTGCCCAAAAACTGGAATGCTTTCATTTCCAAGCATTTTTTAAAAATGAAAACATGCATTGTTGGCAACAACAACAACATGCAGATCCATCCATTGAAAAATGCATATTTTCTCTTGATAAAATTTTTGACCAACATTTGATGGAATTTGTGTAAAAAATGTAACACTTTGTTGCCCTACCCTGCCCAGATCCCATTTAGAGGACTGGGTCATCTTCAGAGGTGGTTCCTCACCTCAAAAAGGTTGAGGCCTGCACTTTGGGATGGTGTGTTTGGCCCAGTCTTCACAGACACCCCTACCCCATAGTATTATTACCCTTTGATTGAAGAGGAGCTAATATATATATATATATATATATTTGTGTATGTGTGTGTGTGTTGCCTTTTTTCTCCTTTCTGCTCTGGCTTCTCTAAATCCACATAACCTGTAGGAGGAACTGAAAAAGCTTTACACACAACTGGAGGTCCACAAGACGAAGAAGATGACTGCCAACAACCCTCACCTTCAAAAAAAGAGGAGCTCCAAGAAGGGCTTGGGTCGTTCCTTCATGAGGCGCATCACCGAGTTACCCGAGTCCATGTCTCGCAAAGAGGAGAAGGACGGGTCTCTCACGGGAGGCAGCAGGAGTCGTTCAGGTTCCTACAAAAGGAGACTTCTAGACTCTGGCAGCTCCAGCATGAAGATGAAAGATGATCCTTCAAAGCGCAAACCCTTCTCTCTGAGGAAGTCTCACAGCACTTATGACCATGTACAGGACCCCAAGGACAGCTCCCCACCCAGAAGAGAAAGCACTTGCAAAGATCCCTCACTGCTGGACTCCTTAATGAGGAAAAATCTAGCCAAGAAAGCCTCAGAGAGATCCAACAGTGACTCCCTTGACTCAGCCCCCCTGGTCTACAAGTCTGCTAGTGCTCACAACCTCTCAGCAGACAAAAGACCCCTTCACCCAAAGCCATCCCCACTGCAGAAATCTCTCAGTGTCATCACCAGTGCAAAAGAAAAGGCCCTGCTGCTGCCTAGCCAGGCATATTTGGAAGATAGCTACCAACAAACTAGAGAAGAGAAGAAGATAGAAGAGGGAGCCTCCACTCCTGAAATGCAGTACTTGAGGTATACAGATGGTGGGGAGGCAGCCAACCAGACCACAAAGCAGCCAGAGAGCAAGAATGTATCAGAAGGGACTCTGAGCACTCTCCTACAAAACAGTTTCGATAAAGCCGAAGTTTGCCCCTGGGAAGTGGAAGAGCCCGTGTCAGAGAGCAAGTCACAGAAACATGTCACATACGCTCCTATAAAGAGCATCAGCGTCGACAGCTCTCACTTGTCTGGGAGGATTCACCCTCCCAGCAAGAGGACACCGCCAGAGCCGCCCATCAGGTACCAAAGCTTGTCTCACAGCCTTGAGAAGAGCGAGGCGGCTCCCTGGAACGTCCAGGAGCAAAAGCAGTCTCCTGCAGATGCTGCTGGTAAGGATGCAAAAGAGGCCCCGGAGTTCCTCAACACCTGGGAGGTGGAGAAGCTTCCAAGGAAAGCTGAAATAGCAGACAAGGGAAGAAGTGAGCAGAGAGAAGGCAGCGCACAAATGTCATCCACTACAGGGAAGAACAAACTGACAACTCCATCCTCTGTGGCTGCAGAAATATCTCCCTGGGAAGCACAGGCTTGCAATCAGGATCAACATGATAAGCCCACTGAACCAGGAGACTCCAAGAAACCAAGAACCTCTTCAGCAGCCCCCCCAAATCTGAAACTTCTGTGCCGGAAAAACTCCTTCAAGAGCTTAGGGCTTGCCATTAAAGCACTTAACCAACCAAAGGCAAACAGCAGTATTAAGGGAAAGAAGGAGGGAGAGGGGAGTCAGAAAAAGAAAGACAGAGACCGAAGCAGTAGGAGAGATAATTCCAAAGTGGTAGAAACATCAGCAGTAGCTATCAGAGAGAGACCCAAGCAAAACGACAGAGCCAAAGGGCCCGATGAAAGCCAGGAGAAAATGGTCATTAGGCAAGCAACCATCTGCCCCTGGGAAGAACAGGAGACAATCCCAAACCAGCAAAACAATAATTCCAGTAAAGTGTTTGAAACATGCCCATTACAGGTAAGCAAAGGGAAACCAGAGGGTCCCCAGGATGAATCAGCATCTAGTAAAGGGAGTGCCAGAACAGAAAGGAGGAGTCTGAAAGACACAAGAGATACCACAGACAGCAATCTGGAAAAGATGAGAAGCCAGTGGGAAATCACATATCCCCAGGAGTCCACAGCCTCTTATGGAGTCCCAGAAAAACTAAGCAAGTCCAAGAACAAAATCTCTGATCAGTCCAACAACGATCCAAATGTGGGCAGCAAGAAGGCAGAAGCCCAGCCTCGGGCAGCTGCAGAGGCTAAACCCAGTGTTAAATCAGAAATATGCCCCTGGGAGGGGGCTGGAATGCCGTCAAAAAAACAAGAAGAAGAAGAGCTTTCCAAAGAGGACAGAAGCGTGATGCAAAAAGCAACAACAGGTCTAGGCAAAACAATGGAGAAGGGGAGCAGCCAAGAATCTGTCTACCCCCAGGAGATCCTGGACTTGGATAAACCTTCACTAAAACCTGGTACTGGAAGCCAAGATCTATCTGAAGGCTCTTCAAAAAAACCAGATAGGCTGGAGAGCAAGAAGATAGAGGTTTGTCCCTGGGAAACCAAGGAAATTGAAACCTGCATTCAGGCAGAAATAGGCTCCAGACAAGTGACTGAGGCTTCACCAGATCCAGGGAAGTCAAGACAAGACAAAGGTGAGGTTTCAAAGGAAAACAAAAGCACCCCACTACCAGCCGCAGCAACAGGTTCTTCTACAAGACTGGAAAAGGGGAGCAGCCAACGAGAAGTTGTCTGTCCTTGGGAGAGCCTGGACATGGAGGAATTGCGTACAAAACTTAAAGCACAAAGTCCTGGTCTGAGTAAAACAGCTTCAAAGAAATCAGAGAGTGTTGAGAGCAAAAGAGCAGAGGTTTGTCCCTGGGAAATGGAGGAGGATAATATCAGCATTAGAAAATCGAATTGCCCCTGGGAAGGGAGGGAGTCTCCAACAGGTAAGGGAAAACTCGGAAAGAACACAGGTGAGGACACTAAAGGAGACCACAGAGACGCACTGAAAAGGCCGAGTCCAAGACAAAAAAAATTGCAGCTGATGAGCCAGCAAGAAGCTATCTGCCCATGGGAGAGCACAGACATGGAGGCATTGTCTGCAAGCCCCCAGACACAAAGCCCTGCTCTGAGTAAAGCAGGGTCAAGGAAATCAGAGAGCCTTGAGACCAAAAGGGCAGAGGTATGTCCCTGGGAAGTGGAGGAGGCAGACTCCAAGGCTAGAGCAGAAATATGCCCTTGGGAGGAAAGTGAGACTCCTTCTGAGAAAGGAGTTACAAAACCAGACAAAGAGAAATGTTTCAAAGGGAAGAAGAGCATCACACCAGAGGCAAGAGGTCCCTCTAAAACCATGGAGAAGGGGAGCAGCCAGTGGGAAGTCATCTGCCCTTGGGAGAGCCTGGACATGGAGGCATTGTCTGCAAAGCCTGATGCACAAAGCCCTGGTCTGCATAAGGTGGGGTCAAGGAAATCAGAGAGTATTGAGAGCAAAAGGGCAGAGATTTGTCCTTGGGAAATGGAGGAGGTGGACTCCAGGGTTAGATCAGAAATATGCCCCTGGGAGGGGAGTGAGACCCCATCAAATAAAAAAAAGTTAAAACAGCAGATAGGTAGAGCTTCAAAAGGGGAAAAGAAAGGATCTAGGGGGAGTGAAGACACAACTTTGAAAAAGAAGAATGGGTCCAGCCCTCAAGATTCAACCAGCTCCTGGGGCAGCCTAGACACGGAGGTTTCCACCATCAATCCCAACATAAAAAGACAGCATCAGTTTAAAATCCCTTCAAAGAAGTCAGAAAGTGCTGAGAGCAGGAAGGCAGAAATTTGTCCCTGGGAAATGGAAGGGGTTGACACAAGTATAAGAGCAGAAATATGCCCCTGGGAGATGGATGAAAGTCCATCAGAGGAAAGAGAGAGAAAGCAGGACAGAGGTGGAGCTTTCAAAGAAGACAAGAGTATCACAACACAAGCAGCCTTAGCAAGTTCCTCTACAGCACTGGAGAAGTTAAGCAACCAACGAGAGGCCATCTGTCCCTGGGAGAGCATAGACATGAATGAATTTTCAGTGAAACTAGGGTCCAGAAACTCCTTCTTGTCCAAAGATGCCTCCAAAAAATCAGAAAGCCTTGAGAGCAAAAGGGCAGAGGTTTGTCCTTGGGAAAGTGTAGAGCTGGAGTCCAGCATTCAAGCAGAAATATGCCCCTGGGAAGCATCTGAAGCTCCATCACATAAAGCAAAATTAAAAAAAGATAAAGATGGAACTTCCAAAACCAGGAAAGACATCTCCCCAAAGACATCCAGGGCAAAGGAGATTGGAGGCAGTATATTGAAAAAGCCAGAGAAGGGGACCAGTGAGCAAGAGGCCATCTGCCCTTGGGAGAGCCTGGACATGGAGAAATTGTCTACAAAACTTAAGGCACAAAGTCCTGGTCTGAGTAAAGCAGCTTCAAAGAAATCAGAGAGTGTTGAAAGCAAAAGAGCAGAGGTTTGTCCCTGGGAAACAGAAGAGGTTGATACCAGCATTGGAAAAACTAATTGCCCCTGGGAAGGAAGGGAGCCTCTAAAAGGTAAGGGGAAACTTGGAAAGAACACAGGTGACGACACCAAAGAAGACCACAAAGACACACTGAAAAGGCCAGATTCAAGGAAAACTGGAGAAACCACATCTAAAAAACTGCAGCTGATGAGTCAGCAAGAGGCCATCTGCCCATGGGAAAGCACGGATCTGGAGGCATTGTCTACATACCCCTGGGCACAAAGCCCTGCTCTGAGTAAAGCAGGGTCAAGGAAATCAGACAGTCTTGAAAGCAAAAGGGCAGAGGTTTGTCCCTGGGAAGTGGAGGAGGCAGACTCCAAGGTTAGAGCAGAAATATGCCCCTGGGAGGAGAGTGAAGTTCCTCCTGAGAAAGGAGTCACAAAACCGGACAAAGAGAGATCTTCCAACGGGGCCAAGAGCATTACAAATGTAACAGGTCCCTCTAAAACCATGGAGAAGGGGAGCAGCCAGCGAGAAGTCATCTGCCCCTGGGAGAGCCTGGACATGGAAGAATCCTCTGTGCAACTCAGCCCTAAAAACAGAGACCCAACCAAAGGCTCTACAAAGAAATCAGTTAGTGTGGATAACAGGGCAGAGGTTTGTCCCTGGGAAACCGAGGAGGCTGAGTCCAGCATTAAAAGCAAAATTTGCCCCCAGGAAGTGACTGGGGCTTCTTCAGATCAAGGGAAATTGAGAAAGGATACAGATAGGATTTCCAAAAAGAACAACACAACAGGTTTACGGAGAACTGGAGACATCACATATAAAAGCCTAGAGAAGGAGAAGACTCTGCAGGAGTCCATCTGCCCTTGGGAAAGCCTGGACATGGACAACTCCTCTATAAAAGCCGTGCCTGGAGCAATCATATCGAAGAGATCTGACAATGCTGAGAGTAAAAGGTCAGATATTTGCCCTTGGGAAGCAGTGGAACCAGGAGCTGTTGGAAAAAAAAGCATTAAAGATGAAGTATGTCCATGGGATGTAGCAGGTGCCTCATTAGTTCAGATGGAGAAGCAGGCTGTAGAAGCAGCCAGCGCAACTGGCCCTGAGACATCAGCACTCCAACTATCCAAACCCACAAGCAGACAAGGCCAGGCTGCACATCAGCCGCTTCATCGCATCCTCCCCAACTCCCAGTCTCTAAAGGCCCTGAGCAGAAGCAGCAGCACAATGGTAGATGTGCTCCCTTGGCAAGAGGCTCCAGTCATGGCCAAACATCTCAGTAAAGGCAGCACAGTGGTGGTTGATGTCTGTCCATGGGTACTGGAAGGAGCTCTGACAGATCACACTGAAACCAGCCAAAACTTAAAGGCATGTCCCTGGGAAGCCGAAGACATTAGTCCCATCCATGCCATGCAGGCTAAGAACAAATCAGAAGAAAAAATGAGAGAGGAAGCCAAGGGCCTGAGCCAAAGCAAAACAGACATCTGTCCATGGGACTATAAGTAGCCAGCTCCACACAGGGGAAAGCTGGATATGGCTGGTGGTTTTTTTATAAAAGACAGCAAGATGCCTTCAGCCAGTGACTACTTCAGTTCTTAAAACAGCCTGCTGCCTGTCCACTAAATGTGGATTAGGGCTGCACCTGAATTCCAAACTACAGGTAGATTGCACGTGTGACAACATCCCATATGAGGCTACCCTTTGTCAATTCAGTCAGAGGATATGAACCATGCTTGGGACTGAAGTCACACTATGGACCACTTGCTGTCAAGGGACAGTCATGACTTTCTGCCTTCACAGAAAAAAACCCAAGCCAGCTGTGATACTCTGCACATTTCATCTTCTGTTTGTCAACATGTAGCAGCAGGGTAGTGTAAAGTCGCCCTTGTCAAACCCACGGTATCAAAGTATCCAGACCATCCTCAAAACCAGCCTCACCTGCTTTCACCAACCACGCGTGTGATGCGAAATCTGTAATTCACTAAACAAAAAGTCTTGACCACAAGCTGAACAAGAAGTTGAATAGTCTTACATCCAAGAGAGAGATTCAAAGGAAGAGGCTCGTGTCTGCAGTACAACAAAGAGTGACTTGCATATCCTTATGCATACAGTTTGAACCAGTTTAAATTTACAGCTACATTGAAGTTAAGTTATGGTCTGAAATATGTAGAATGACTGGGAACTCAATGAATGGGTCCAACCAGGAAAGGGAATGAAATGAAACCAGAGATTGAGATGCACCTTATACACAAAATGCCACATCCTCACCTTCTGGGGACCCATAATGATCCCTTGAGCTATTTACATTGATGCTTCTATTGTTTCCTCAATTCACTGACCCCGTTCCACTTGTACCTATAAGCCCCATCCTGCAATGCTCATCTCCAGCGAGGTGCTGAGCACCTTTCTGTTGACTGCTATTGTTTATGGTTGGTCGGGGGGAGGGGGAGTATGGCACCAATCAAGATCAGTGCTCCACAGTGCAAGGTGGTATACAGACCCATGAAAGGAGGCAGTTCTTGCAGTAAAGAACTATCATTAGCAGCTGACTTGAGATGACAAGTGAAGAAAATGCACAAGGTCGGGGAGAATGGGGCAATAGGGGAATCATCTACCAAACAGCAACCTCAGCTCACTGGTAGGGCAATGATTTGAAGCCAATGGAAATAGAGGATCCTGGGTCATCATTGGCAGGATCAGGCTCCAAACATCAAACTCTATATTGTTCTTTGAGCAGAGTCAAGTGAAACAACAGTTCTGATGATATGCAGGGAGAGACCGAGTGTAAAGATGACATTAAAGAGAGGAGGAAAGCTGCTTTACAACATGCCCCACAACCAGCCTGCCCTCTCCTCCAGTGCTGCCACCATCTTAATTTTAATGAAGGGCAATTGCAGGTATCCAGTTTAGTGCCAGTCAGGCTCTAGAGCTTGGGATGAACAGCTGCTGCTTGTGTTCTGACTCCATCCCATGTCAGTTTGTTTCCCTGATTTAAAGGTGGTTATTTTTAAATTGCCCACATGGGACTTCCACAGATCCAAAACAAACCTGCCAGCAGTTTTGTTTTGCTGTGGTCTGATGAAGGTGGCCCCATGCCTGAATGCTGCAATTCAGTGATTCCCAAAGCTGCTTCTCTTTTCTGTTGCCAGAATTCTCTGCCCATCATCCCAGGAAGTAAATTAGCCCCTGGGTCATTCCACTTTGCTTTTAGAAATCTCTGTTAAGGACTGTGCGACTAGCTACATAGCACTGTTGTTACTATTGCAGAAATTTGACCATAAGCGGATCCAGTCTTAACTAACAAACCATTAACTTTCCAAAGCACTTTGTCACTACCAGTTGGGGGGGGGGGGGGTCTGTGCAAACATGCCTAGGGTTCCAATTCAACTTCCTGTCAGACTATAATCTATCCAGGAAGTGTAATAGCTTTTACCAACAGTATTTTCACTGCCTATAGCAAGCCTTCACTTCTAGTATCCAGATGATGTCCTTATGCTGGATGCCTTGACTGCCCTGTGTTCTACACTTGCATCCACACATTGTCACCAATCCTTGTGGGGAGGAGATGCGAGACCTGCCATTAGGAAGCACAGCCCCAAAAGCACCTCATCCCACAGCCTGAGGGAGGGCTCCAGATGGAAGTAGGGGAGGGAAGGAAGAGTAGCATTCTGGGAGCAAGCATGCAAGGAGCAATGAGAGGACTCCTCAAGCTGTGCATGCAGTAGGTTCACACAAGTGAATAGGGCAACTCCATTTGCAATATGCAGTCAGAAAAACTCCAGGGATAGGAAATCAGAGATGCTGTTGGGTGGGAACCAAGGTGCCCTGGCAGACATGCATATGGGAAGTCAGCACAGTGCCTATCTGTGCACCCTGTGCCTGTCTCAAGACAGGGCCTCACTTTCACTAGGACCACAGTTCGCTGCCTACCCCCAAACTACATGGGAACTACACAGAGGAAGGCAGTTATCTTCCTCCCTTTTGGATCTTCCACAGGTAGAGACCCGGTACTTCTCAGCTGTGGTGGCAAATGGAATGTGAGATGATTATGGGCAACAGGGCAGGAAGGGAAATGCAAAGCAAAGCTTTACCCAGTAGGAAAGAAATATGGAAGAGCAGGGGCTGGTGTTAGATTTTACAGGTCCCAGTTCAATGATCTGCTCACCAGTGATTCTAGTGGCATTTCCAGGTAGCTCTACCTATACACATGGGAGCCTATAGGGGAATGGTTGGGACAGAGATGCAGGCTCTACTGACATAGCTAGCTGCTCCTTTGTCCCTTTCTCCTTCCCTCTGGGTTTAAGGGCTGTTCAGGACAGCAGCATCCTCTGTGTGTTATCCCTGCCTCTGGTCCCATTCAGATGGGATCAGCAAAAATCAGAGAAAACAGAAGTGAAGACCTCAGCCTCATCCCTGAGCTGTTGCTGGGCGCTGAGATTTTCTCCCACTTCTCTTTGTCAAACTTGTCCTTTACTTCTACTCTGTCCTTAGGAAGTGGCATTGCTGTAGTGTGCAGTCTGTGACTTCGCTCAGCACTGAATGTCAAACAATGAGATCATCCAATTATGTAAGAAAATGTATATACAGAGAATAAAGAATATTATCTATAGACATGGGCAGAGTAACTGACTGTGATTTATGGTAGAGTGGTTAAAGCCATGGTTTGGGATGCCGGAAGCAGAGGGAAGATTTATGTGGTTGCTTACACATTATATATGTCCAAAAAGAGCATCAGTTTGAAAGCTCATCCATCCTAGTTTATTCCCAGGCTGTTTCTACAGCTAGTGGAAGCTTCTCAATGCACAACACTCATCTCAATGCACAACACTCATCTCAGGCCCTCCTCCTCCCCCCCTCCCATCCCACAAAGACATTTAATATAGGATCTTAGGAAGGGAAGGGGCCTCCTGGGCCATCAACTCTAACTCCCGGTGCTCATAGACACTCATTAATTGAAGAAATCCCAGGTCAGGTTTTCCTGAAAGGACACTGAGCTTCTGTATGAACAGCAGTCGGTGCAACTGACAAATATCCATTACTAGAGAGCATCGTCTTGCACAGGCGTTGGCAACCCTGCTGCACCCACAAATCCATCTCCAGGAAAGCTCAAGCCTCCTGTGCTTACCCTTGCTACAGATACCCTCACTGCCAAGGGGAAGGGAAGCCCAGGCACAAGAGAGCAACAGGGAGAGCTGCTGAGGATAGTGCTGCAGAAGGGACAGGCAACTTAGCACAGGTCTCTGCCACCCTATCCCCCCTATGCTTCCTTGGGCTGAGCTAGACCTTTGCCAGCTGGAACAAATCCATGGGCCATAGGTTGCTAACTCCTTACCTAGCAAACAGGGCACTGGACAGGGTATCAGGAGACTTTGGGTTTAAACCCCAGTTCTGCAACTGATCTGCCGCATCTGACTTAAGGCAGGCCCCTTCTGCTCCATTCCCCACCTCACCCTCTTGTCTTTCTTGCATAGATTACAAAAGACTCTCCTTTGCCATGTGCTTGTCACAGATTGCAGGTAATGTCTGCAAGATTCTCTGACACTGTTCACCTTTAAAGAGTTAAAACTGAAAGAAGGTGTCAGCATCTTTGCCAAAACTGGAAAAGTGCTCAAGTTTCAAACTCTGGCTAACTAATGGGAGGATGTTGAGGGCTAAGAGCCAGAAAAACCCTAGCAAGTATCACACTTTGTTTCTGTCCAACCCCCTGAAAAAAAATCACAGAGAAAACAGGACAAGCAGTTTGCAGGTCAGTTTGCTGCCCCCCACCCCTTGAGGGGAGAGCCTTTCAGTTTAGTGTTAGGAAGCAGGGAAATAGGAACCCTTTGGGGCCAAGGACCAGTAAACAAGCCAGCTTCCAAACAAGTTCGCTAGGGAATGTGTGCTTGGAAGAAGGGCAGTAAGACCGAAGAGGCAGATTAAGAAACCCAGGGAAATGGCTTGAGGATGTCGCAATGCCAGAGCCACTGCTACTGCCTACCTATGAGGTTTCTGACCATTCACCATCGAGGCTTCTATCCAGGTCCAGGTTTGGCACTGTGGGGACTGCAGCTTGCAGGTTCTTTGCAGTGGTGGCCAGGTGAACCACTCTCTCCATGGTTGGAGAGTGCCTGTGGTGTGAGTGGTGCCTCCTGGTAGTGTTTCTCAGGGAACAAGCAAGAGAGCTACAGGAAGAGGCAGTGAGGCTCTGAAACGTCCTCCACCATGAGTTCATCAATTCGACGTTGAAGGAGACCTCCAGGACTGTGGAAGAACTGCCAGAGGCAGCACTAGAGAAGAGAGAGGACATGGACTCCCAGGAGGGTGGAAGTTGGAAGCTTGTGACTTCTGTCAGCAAGCAGAAGTCTTCAGCTCCACCTGGTCCCATTCGGGGGGAACAGTTCATATAAAGAACAGATATGGAGCCCTAGCAACAGAGGATGAGGAGCACATTCCATTGGTGGAAGAGGACGGGACAGGCCTCCCCAAGTTGGGAAGGATCATGACAGCCACCACTAAGAAACAATAGTTGGTGGTGGTTGGAGACTCCTTTCTGCAGGGGATGGAGGGATCCATCTGCTGACCTGACTTGTTGTCTTGAGAAGTCTGCTGCTTCCCTGGAGCCCAGATCAGAGATCTTATGGAGGGATTACCAAGACTCATCTGGTTCTCTAACTGCTGCTCCATGCTGCTCATCCATGTGGTCACTAACGATACTGCCAAGGGAGACCCTGAGTAGATCAAAAGTGACTACAGAGCTCTGGATGCAAGGGTGAAAGGGACTGGGGCTCAGGTCATATTCTCTTCAATTCTTCCAGTCAAGGGAAAGGGCTTGGGCAGGAGCAGACACATCCTGCAGATCAACGCCTGGCTATGCAGGTAATGTTGCCAGCAGGGGTTTGGCTTCTTTGACCACAGGATGATGTTCCAAGAAGAAATCCTGGGAAGAGATCGGATCCATCTGATGGAGAGGGAAGAGCACCTTTGCAGACAGGCTCACTATCCTAGTTGAGGAGGGCTTTAAACTAGGTTCACTGGGCGATGGAGACCAAAGCCCTGAGTTAGGTGGGGAAGTGGATGACCTGGAGGAAAAGCAAGCAAGAGGGAGCAAGAGAGGAGGTGGTCTCATTTTTCCTAAGAAACTGGGGCAATTGACTAGTTACTTTAGGTGCCCACAGTGTACATGAATGCACAGAAACTGGGAAACAAGCAGGAAGAATTGGAAGTCCTTGCACAGTCACAGAGCTATGACGTGATTGGAATAAGAGACTTGGTGGGAACTCACATGACTGGAACATTGTCATGGATGGGTACAAACTGTTCAGGAAGGACAGGCAGGGGAGAAGAGGAAGGGGAGTTGCACTTCACTTAAAACAGCCATATGATTGCTCAAAGCTTCAGTGTGAAACTGGAGATAGGCCTGTCAAGTCTCTGGGTTAGGGTCAGAGAGAGCAACAAGGGTGATGCTGTAGTGGGTGTCTGCTATAGACCACCAGAGCAGGAAGATGAGGTAGATGAGGCTTTTTTCAAACAGCTAGCGGAAGTTTGCCAATCACAGGCCCTGATTCTTACGGAGGACTTCAATCACCCTGACATCTGCTGGGAGGGCAATACAACAGCGCGCAGGCAATCCCGGATGTTTTTGGACAGTGCTGGGGACAAGTGCTGAAGCAGCCAACTAGGGGCCGCGCTCTTGTTGACCTGTTGCTCACAAACAGGGAAGAATTGGTGGGGAAAGTATTAGATGGTTGCTTTGGCAACAACAACCATGAGATGATTGAGTTCAGGATCCTGAGGAAAGGAAGAATGGAGAACAAAGGAGCCTGGACTTCAAAAAAGCAGATTTCGACTCACTCAGGGAACTCATGGGCAGGATTTCCTGGGAAACCAGTCTGACTGGGAGAGGAATCCAGGAGTGCCGGCTGTACTTTAAAGAAGGCTTACTGAGAGCACAGGAACAAACCATCCCAATGTGCAGGAAGACTAGTAAGTATGGCAGAAGACCAGCTTGGCTTAGCAGGGAACTCTTCAGTAAGCTGAATCAGAAAAAGGAAGCTTATAAGAAGTGGAAACTTGGACAACCAACTACAGAGGAGTATAAGAGTATGGCTTGGGCATGCAGAAATAAAGTCAGGAAGGCCAAAGTGCAATTGGAGTTGCAGCTAGCAAGGGACATGAAGAGAAACAAGAATGGTTTCTACAAGTATGTCAGTAACAAGAGGAAGATCAGGAAAAGCGTGGGTTCCTTACTCCATATGGGAGGCAACCTAGTGACAGAGGATGCAGAAAAGGCTATAGTACTCAATGCCTTTTTTCACCTCAAGTCTTTACAGGCAAGGTCAGCTCCCAGACTAATGCACTGGGCAGCACAGTTTGTGGAGGAGGGAAGCAGCCAACAGTGGTGAAAGAACAAGTTAGGGACTATTTAGAAAAGCTGGACATATACAAGTCCATGGGGCTGGATGGGATGCACCAGAGGGTGCTGAGGGAGTTGGCTGAGGTGACTGCAGAGCCACTGGCCATCATCTTTGCAAACTCATAGTGATTGGGAGAGGTCTCAGATGATTGGAAAAGGGCAAACATGGTGCCCATATTCAAGAAAGGGAAAAAGGAGGATCCAGAGAACTACAGACCAGTCACCCTCACCTCAGTCCCTGGAAAAATCATGAAGCAGATCCTCAAGTAATCTCTCAAAGCATTTGAAGGAGAAGAAGGTGTGGCAGGAAGCCACCTTTGTTTCTCCCCAAAATCTCTGTGCTGTGACAATTTGATTAGGATGGGCCCAGCAGAGGAGACACACATTTACCCTATCTCTTTAGGTAACCTGAGCTGGATACATTCCTGAGGGAGGGGGAAACCTGCTCCCTCTGCATACGACTGGTATCAGCTACCTGGGTGAGGGGCATCTACCTGGTGGGCTAGAGTCTGCCTGGCAAGTACTCATGTATTTCTAACTGGTTGGCCGACAGCCAACAGGTGCTGGCCTCCATTGGACCAGGTGAATGAGATCACAGGGGCTATATAAGTTAAGACTGCCCAGGAGGAGGGGGCAGCAGCCATGCGGGGGACTCAAGACTTAGAGAGGAGTTTTACCATCTGAAAATGGCTCTCTCCCCCAAAACTCATGAGCTAGGACTGGCCTGCCTCCAGAGGGAATCTCCAACAGCCTCGGGATGATGCTTGTGAGTAAGCTACTCAAGATCTAGTTAGATATATAGCTGGCAGTAACTCAGATGTGTGATCAAAAGGCTACCTCAGCCAGACTGTTTTGCTCTAGGGGATTTCTACGATATTGCTCTATCTTGTACCCTATTTTCACCCTACCCCCTGTAATCAATAAAGTTCTCCTTTGTGACCGGTGTAGGAGACTTATTGAGGGGTGGGTCTAAATTATGCCGAAGAGGCCCCTTAGGTCTGCGGACTAAGGGAGACTTTCCTTTTTGGCCCCCGACTTGGGGAAGTGCCCCAAGTGCCTGTACTGGGTTGAATACCCATAGGCGTAGGACTATTAGGCCTGTTTCCCCAAGGACACAGGGCCGAGAGAGTCCCTTCTCAGGGTGGTGGCAGCTTACGTTACCCCCAGGCTAGTGAGTGTGCTCCAGGAAGGGGGTCAGCCGGACGCAAGGCCCCCCTAGGGAGGCACTCGGAGCCTGGAAGGTGGTCGGGCACAGTGAGGTGGGTGGCTCGACACAAGAGTGCCCCCTACTGGCCCGCCACAGAAGGTGATTGGGAACAGTCAGCATGGATTCACCAAGGGCAAGTCATGCCTGACCGACTTGATTGCCTTCTATGATGAAATGACTGGCTCTGTGGATGTAGGGAGACCTGTGGATGTGGTGTACCTTGATTTCAACAAGGCTCTTGATACAGTCCCTCACAACATTCTCCAACAGGTAAGCCAAGGAAGTATGGACTGGATGAATACACTGCAAGGTGGTACTCAGTGTCTAGCTGGCAGCCGGTATCAAGTGGAGTGCCCCAGGGGTCAGTCCTGGGGTCGGGGTTGATTTTGTTCAGTAACTTCATCAACGACCTGGAAGTTGGCACTGAGTGTACACTCAGCAAGTTTGCAGATGACACCAAGCTGCGGAGAGTAGATACACTGGAGGGTAGGGCTAGGATTCAGAGTGACCTAGATAAATTGGAGGATTGGGCCAAAAAGGAATCTCATGAGGTTCAAGGACAAGTGCAAAGTCCTGCACTTAAGACAGAAGAACCCTATTCACTGCTAGTCTGGGAACTAACTGGCTGGGCAGCAGCTCTGCAGAAAAGGACCCAGGGGTTATAGTGGACAATAAAATTAATGTGAGCCAACAGTGTGTCCTTGTTGCCAAGAAGGCTACTGGCATACTGGGCTGCATTGGTAGGTGTGTTGCCAGCAGGTCAAGGGAAATGATTATTCCCCTCTATTCAGCACTGGTGAGGCCACATTTGGAGTACTGTGTCCAGTTTTGGGCACCCCACTACAAAAAGGATGTGGACCAATTGAAGGCAGTCCAGCAGAGGGCAACAAAAATGGTTAGGGGCAAGGGCATATGACTTATGAGAGGCTGAGGAAACTGGGTTTATTTAGTTTAGAGGAGACGGAGGGGATTTAATAGCAACCTTCAGCTATTTGAAGTGGGGTTCCAAAGAGGATGAAGCGAGACTGTTCTCAGTGGCGGCAGATGACAGAACAAGGAGCAATAGTCTCAAGTTGCAGCAAGGGAAGTTTAGGTTAGATATTAGCAAGAACTTTCTCATGAGGCAGAATGGTAAAGCACCAGAACAGGTCACCCAGAGAGGCTGTGGAATCTCCATCCTTGGAGGTTTTTAAAACCCGGCTAGACAAAGGCTTTGGCTGGGATGATCTATTTGAAGATGGTCTTGCTTTGGGCAGGGGGTTGGACAAGATGACCTCCTGAGGTTCCTTCCAGCCCTAATGTTCTACGATTCTACTATTTTCACGGCAGGGGGAAACTTATTAATTGGAAGGGTACGTCAACTGATCCCCTCTAATTAGCTCATACGTCCACTCCTATCCCACAGTAACTGCAGTTAAACCACAGTAATATAATCCAGTTTTATTCAGGGTTAAATCTAACCCCGTTTAAACTTCCTTTTATTGCAAAAGAGGGGACAGATGAAACAGTTCAAGTGGTTGAAGTTATAATTCTCCTCTCCCATGCCCTGACTCACTTGCCCTTTTCTTCCTCTGTCTGAAAACCAACTAGAATAGGAGATATATGGCTGATTTAAACCATGAAGCTTGCTTTACTGCTTTCTGAGTGTGGCTACCAGGGCAATTTTTACCTACAAAAGAGAATGTTGTAGCCTGGCTGTTCTGGTGTGTTCAGTACCTGACTGGCCCATCATGGGGTTTTACAGTCATAAGATCAGCTTTAGCAGAATGCCAACGCATAGTAGGAAGACAGGGAGAAGCTAGCAGAAAAGCAGTCTCAAGAGGAAGGAGCTAAAAGGCCCCTAATACATACACCTGATGGGAGAAATGGAAGAAAATGTGTTACTTTGCTCAAAGAAGGGCAAGAGTACAGTCAGGCAGTCTTACAAAGAAATGATGCTGTGATGCTTTTATAAGAGTGAAGATATGTGAATTATATGAGGTATATTACTCCTGCCACAACCACTTTCTGGCAATATCTCATGATCAAATTTCAGGTTATCAGTCAAACAGATTCCAGAAATAGACACAACAGCAGTTACTTCCTCCTGAGCAACAAGTGGCAACTTACACACCAACAACTTTAGAATCAATTACTCTATTATTTTACACACACAATGCTACAGACTTCTTGGGAACAATCACCTCAGTGTTGACAGGACAAGCAGATGACAATCTACAGCCAGTTTCCAACATCTGACCTAGGAATACATTTGCTGATGTCCCACAGATTTATGAGGATTTGGGGAGTAAGAGGACAGATTAAGAAAGGAGAACAGGCATTCAGGATCAGGGTGTTCAGGGGTGACCACGCCCCATCACTATAAGCCTACTATAAAAGCTTCACTTAAGATAAGGAGGCAACAAGGGTATAGAGAGAGAGTCTTGCACACCAGCCCATAGGTGCTTTTGTTGCCAATGATGTACAGTCAGCTCCTGCATTGATGGTTGCACGCTGATGGATCCTGAAGTACTGGGTCTCCAAAGCGTAACAAGGTTTGAGTAACATCTCATTGAACTGTGTGTGGTAGGTATGGAGAAGATCTCCCCTGAACAGCATTCTGTTTGCTCCAAGTAGCCCTGCAGGGACTCCCCCAATGGCACATGCACATAGGTGGAATCCAAACCTAGAGACATGTTACTTGCTGATAGCACAGCTGGGAAGCAGTCCCATCTCCAGCCCACTGCGTTTCCACTCTCTGCCCCCATGCCCTTCATCCATTATTTGTATCGTTGTATCTGCTCAGGCTTTGGAATTTCATGCTGGAGCTCATCAAATTCTTGTAAGGGATCCAGGGCTGGGCCAGGGATCATCACCGTCTGAAAAACCAAGACATAGGATTAGCCTGGCAGTGAGCTGACCACAGGGTGACTCTGCACCCAATAAGCAGAGGGACAGGGACCTCAGTTTCAAGGCAACATGGAACAGCAAGCAGAGCATTAGGGTAGTGCACAGCCCTCCCACCAGAAGAGGAAACCACTGTAGTGAGGTGCATCCACAGCACTGCTATGGCTCCTTCTCTTTCCTGCAGCAATAAGTGAAGGCAAGGCAGCAGCAGCCCTTGCACCAGTCTGCCTGGATGGAAGAGCACACACCAACTGTAGATGCTTCCTTGGCCTGATGAAGGGTTTTTAAACCCGAAGCTTGCTAAAAAATTTTTTTTCCAAATATTTAAGTTGGTTTAATAAAAGATATCAGATTCACCCAGAGAACCTTGTCTGCCTCAATCCATGTATTAGCATTTGCCCAACTGCGGAAGCTCCACAGCCCTGGATCCAAACTCCCATGCACCTGGGAAAGCAGACTGCCACCAGTCAGAAGAACTCTAACAGAGCAGAATATCAGACCCATCTATGATGATAGGAGTGACTAGGCTTGGAGGGGATGTCTTGAAACATGGAATCCAGTCCCTAGGTAACCATGTCCTATAATAGCCTCCTGCATGGGCTGTCTCTTGTCCATAAGAGCTGCTGCTTGCAGACAAACCTACCCACATCTCACTGCAGAAAGTTCAGCAAAACCAACATCCCTAGTCAGTCGTGCACAAAAGACTGCTGTATCACATGGTTCAGAGAGCACAAAACTGCAGGCCTGATCTCAGAGCTATTACCTTAGTAACGGGGTCCTTTGGTGGAGCCCAGGAGGGCACTATCTTGCCATGTATCCGCCAAGAGCCGTAAGGGTTGACCAAGTGCCTCTCAAATACAACGTACTCCAGAACATCTTTTGGCACATCCTCTGCACCATACATTAGCCGTCCAAACCGATCATAAATCGCCAAGGTCTGTGGGGAAAACCAAGAAACTCATCATGCAGACATCCATGCACAACTGGCAAGGAGACACCATGCACACTGAGACTGTACCTGTCGGGTGTGCATGCGCACTGTCACCTGCCCATACAGGTTGCCTTTGTTCACCATGACGAAATGTCGGACTTGAACGGTCCTTGGAGGCTCCAACGACTCCACAAAGCTCCAACGGATGGTCTTGTATCTGTTCCCATGTACCATTTCCTACCAGAGAGGGAATAAAAAGTCACTGATCAGTGTGAGGATTAGCTGATCAATCATCTCCAGTGGTCAAGGGAGAGGTAAGCTCTGCCTCCTACCTTAGGGCTCTTCTTTTGCTCATATGGAGAAGAGGGCAGCAACAGAGAGCAGAAGCATAAGATTCCTAGGCCCTTTAGGAGTGGTGTTGAGTGCTGCTGCAAAGCAATCTCACCAGAGCTTCCTAAAGGGCTCTTTGTTTCCCACAGTGATACAAAAAGTATTTCTCTTACTGACCAAGTAAAGGCAGAAAGCAAAGAAGAAGTGCACCATACAAACTAAAGTGAATCAGAGATGCATAAAGCTTTTGTGAGCCACATAGTATCTGATGAAGTGAGCTGCTTATGCATCTCTGATCCAGTTGGTCTATAAAGTGCACATCTACCCTGCCATCTGCCTGACTTCAGATTAAAACAGCTAACAATCTCTCTTTGATCAAGTAAAGAGAAACTTTAAAAGAATACAACGTTTAAGTTATGTTGTCCCCTACCATTGCTTCAATAGCCTCTCAAGGAAAGCAAAAACTACATGGCTTTCCCAACTGATTCGTTTGTTCTTCTTATCAACCCCTTTGCATCCTCCTAGAGATGGCGCAGGAGATATTCATTGGAAGAGAAATTAACACGGTTTTGTTAGCTTCCTTGACTGACCAAAGAACCCAGTCGCAGTTACTGTGACAGAGCTGAATGAATGGCTGGGTGTTTTGGAGCCTGCTGAAATCAACAGGGAAGCAAGGAGTCCTCTTCATGGGGAGAAGCAAGCTCTATATGTGGGCCCCACAAAAAAAAGTCCATTGAACTATATTTTTAAGAACAAATTCTGGCCCTATAGCAAAGTAGCAACCCTTTAACTCCAATCAGCTCCCAAACTCATGCATCTACAAAGACTTTTATGCTTCCCCCTGAAGAAATAAATAAGGAATATATACCATATGCTGTGAAGTATCTGTTCTTTAATCCCCAGTTAGAGCTGTGCTTTATCTCATCTCTCTGCCTTTATCAGGGACATTAATAAAAGGAGACAGCTCACTGTTCAGACATCAAATGGTTTCTAAAGATCCCTTCCCTTTTCAAGGATGTACTAATATCCAGACAAATTATTTACCGGGTAGCAGCGTTCAGTCACCAAAGAATGAAGCTTGTTCTTGTTAAAACTGCAAGTGAAAATACATCAAGTTACCAAAATGTGCATACTGAAAAGAGATCCACTCTGGCAATCTGCCTTTTCCAAAACATCCACCAATAAACGCAAAGGGCTGAGAACTGGACTGTCATTTCAGAGGAAGAAGAAAGTGCAAATTTAAACATGCCTGAGAGGCAGCTATGAAAGACACGTACCACATTCAACTCAAGTTGCTACATTAATGCTTGAAATTCTAACTAAAATGTAGTTCTGAAAGACACTGTGTTGAATCTCTAGAAAGCAGCATATATCAATGTTCCATTGCAATATTTAGGATCAAATCAATTTTCAGCAACCTGATTTCCAAAGGATCCAAGTAGTTCCATTTCAAATATTTCAGTGGGGTATGCAGGTGCTCAGCACCTCTGGAAACCAGAGGCAATATGTATTTTCAATTTCCTGTTGGCTGCAATTAGAGTATTTGGCCTGCCACTGTGACTTACACCTCATCTTGTTCCTGGAAGTAGCAGCAAGGAAAGACAGAGCTTAAAAGGAAAACAAAAAACTCAGGAGACACTAAGAAACATGAGACAAGAATGCAGAGCAAAGGAAGATCCTTCACATTGACACCAAACATGCAGGAGGAATCTTACTTGGTTAGGCAATTGTGGGCTTCAATAAATATCTCCTGCGCCATCTCTGGGAAGGCTTTGGCTCTGAAGTTGGGATCATATTGTTTCACCGTCCGTATGCTGCGAAGACAAGGGTAGGTAAAGTTTTGAGAGTGTTGCACTTAAACCCACAGAGAACACGGATCTCAAGCAAATACAGTGCCCCAAGCAAATAATAATGCAGAATCCCTCACGCCCCTCAGGTTAGACAGCACCACTCAATTTAACCCCAGCTTCCAAGAGAAGCTATCAGAAACTCCCTGATACTGTAAGGCAGGGGTTGTCAACTGGGGGTACACATACCTCCAGAAGTACTTGGAAAGGGGCTAGGGGGTATGCACGGGAAGGCGAGAACGGAGCACCACCACCCACCGCCCCATGCCACTGCCTCTCGGGGGGCGCAGCAAGGGCAGCAGGTCCCCTCTGCAGGCCACGCAGGCACCACCCACCTGGCCAGACCCAGGGGGATGTAAGGTGCCCTTGTGCTCATGAAAAGCTATGACTCAGCTCTATCCTATGATTTTGAATAACCATTCACCATACGCAACACGACAATACAGCACAGGCTTAGTGGTTTGCCCTACAATTCATGCTCTGAACTCATGTCCATATCAAGGGCATGGACAAATTAACAGCAACAGGAGGCAGGGACTTACTGGGCATCCCACCTATTCCATAACTGTGGGCCTCGTCTTACCCGTCAATGACTGAAAATTAAACTGCAGAAGATTGGCCTTACTTCTCTGAGAGATAAGATGTGCCTGTTTAGCTTTCATGTTCTACAGAGCAAAAGCAGGCATACAGATATTTGGCATAGAGCAGCTGACATGCAATAAATCCCCTCCCCAGCACCTTTTAACTCACTGTAATCTTAGGGTTGTTCCATACCCAAAGTTAAGTTTCCCATCAAAGTACTCTACTTTTAAAAGCCGAGGTCACAGGAACTAAAAGGAAAGTAAGAGTGAGGCTGGCATTTGGGTGAAGCTCCTGGGATTGAGACTCAGGAGGTCTGTGTTCAAATCACACCTCTGCCTCCAACTCCCTGCCTGACTAAGCAAGTAATTTGCTTTCCTCAAATCTCAGTTCTCCAAAATACATGCTTGTCTGCCTTGTCTATTTAGACTGCAAATTTTTGGGAGCAGAAATACCCCTAGAATACGTAAAGAAGTAAGGCATCAATCCTGCCTGGGGCCTGTACACTGTTGTATGACACACAAGAACAGGGAGTCTCATGTGCCTCAATCCTGTCCATCAGGAGACTGAACACCAAAAAAGCAGATGGCAACCTGAGGATAAAATACTTTTTATGAGAAAGCCAATGGCCTCTACACAATTATCTGCTGCCATCACATGACAGCAGTGAACAGTACTGATATGGGACACTTCAAATACTAAAAGAGATAAGATGGAAAATAAAATGGCATATAATTGTTGTAAGAAATACTGAGTGGAACTGCTGGCACCCAGAAGCCACTTGTGAACAGAGCTGGAGATACGCACGCTAATTGTGAAATGGTACTTTGCTTGAGCTGCGTTGTCCTTTGTTTCAGCGTCTCCTTGGACAGGGAAGACAAGCGAGCATCACCTTCAGGAGGGATGTAAGGGTCAAAAATAGAAGCTGTATTGGAAAGAAAGAGAGATATCAGGAAGAGCACAACACTGCAGCAACAAGTTCTTAAAGGAATATTAATTACTGAACAAAACAAATAGATAAAACACTAGACAATCAGGGAGAGATTTATTCCCTCAATATATTTTTATCCCAAATCATAAAGGAAAAGTTAGAAATAAACAGGATTGAGGGTTTGGAGGATTGAGAAGGGTAACTTCTTACTGGTGGAGTGCTAATTCAAAGCCAGCTCAGGTTCTGAGCTAAGGCTATTGCCATCTGACAGCTCTCTGGTGGCCCATGTGAAATGTGTTCAGTGAGTGGCTCTCAATCCAGGTTCTACAACATGTGACCTCCTCCCCCAACCAATAAACAACTTGTTGATAGATTACAAGTGAATGGGTTAGATCAGCAATTCTCAACCAGGGTGCTGTGAATCAAATGTGACTCTTAAGATTAAAGCAGGGATCTCAAATAAGAATCCATAGTGTCAAAACCATTCTGACTTCCAGTCTTTCTGAAGTGTTTGCAACAGATGAATTTTTCTATTGTTCTTCTGTACTGAAAAAATGAATGAAAACTAAGAGATGGCATTTTCTGAGGGGTGCCTCACACCTATCAAAGGGGCCTCAAGTCTAAAAAGGTTGAGAGCTACTGGGTTAGATATTGGACACTTTGAATCCTGGAGGAAGCCCCAAAAAATCAGAATACGTTATGCTGCTGTAGAGAGAATTTTCCATGCCACCACCCATGCTGTTCCCATTCCTTGGGCACAGGATTTCTGTCACCCAGACTAAAAGTCTGGGACTTTCCCTGAGAACTAACCAGAAGTCAAGCAAAAGGGCTATTCTCCCAAAGGGGGATGTAAAGTGAGCAAACAAAATGAAAAGCCCTTTTTGATGAACTAGATCAATAAAGGTCCTATTTCTGAATAAGATAGGTTATACCCCCACATCCCTTATCAAACCCTCTAGGAGGATGACCAGTACAATTCTCTGTTACTACCTGTGCAGGCCAGAGTTATAGGGCGTTCCAGTTCCTCATGAGGGATCACAGTCCCTTGTGCTTTGATTTTCTTCTCACGTTCTTGTGGAGTTGTATATTTTGTTTCAACACGTGGGGGGAAAACAAAACGCTTCTTTGTTCTCACTGGGACCACAAGAGAGGATTGAGCCAGCCGGATAGGACTGAGTAAGGATTCTGCACCCTGAGGAGAAGATACAGATAAAGCCAAGCATTCAGGCCTCTCCAAGCAGCAAGATGACAAATCCATCCCATCCCAGCAGATGTATCATGGTAAGCCCTAGAGGCTGCCTAGTAGAATGCATACTTTTTCACACGTTATCACGTTCTGATGGCACACAAAGCAAGGTAAGTTCTCAGTGCCTAGCTGTATTACCCCAGGGGGCCTTGCTATTGATAACCATACTAACTGGTTCGTGACCTTATGATCATACGAAAGTAGAGCTGGAAGGAACCTCACAAGGTCATCTAGTCCAGAAGTTCTCAATCTTTTTTGTACCAGGATCCATTTGTAAACATCAATGGCCAGTCCCATCCCAGTGCCCCCCCCCCCCAC